CGTTATATTAATATTAATACAATATAATGCTGTTACGGTATATTAATTATATACTATATATTATATTATGTTGCTAACAGGCCTGTGTAGCACACTGGAAACCACAGGGGTCTCTGTGAGACAAGAGAGCCTTGGTATTGTTACAATCATAATCCATCCTTTTAAGGGCGCTCTGGCTCTTTCATATTTTGCTAATTATTTGCACCTTCCCCCAATCCTGCCCCTCCTTATTTAAACCTGGAGCTCTCGCTACTCTGGGCTCTGCATTGGAAGACGGAGGCCCGCAGGCCCGCAGGCTCGCCTACCACCAAGTCGCCCTATGTCTGCCGCTTGAGGGCATAAGCCTCCTATCGGTGTCCTGACCTAGCTGAAGTTGGAGCGCGGAGCACCCGGCCTCGTCATCCCTTTTTTTATTCCCTGTCCCTGTACCGGATCCCGTTCCGGTTTTTAACTGTTTTGTCCCGTCTCAGTTGGATCATCCTGTTTTTGGACTTTTGGACTTAGCCCCGGATTCCCCCCCCCCCCCGGACACCTTGGACTTGTTCAGCTTGGCTACGCCCCCCGAGCTCCAGTTCACCATTGTCACACCCCCCGTCTGTCCAGCCCTCCTGATCCTCGTCATCCTTTTCCACTTACTTCAGGATTATACCGTCTGCCTAGGGTCCAGAACTATGGGTCTGGGCTCCCATTACAGGTAGTCCCAACTAATCCCAACCTTTTCTTTGGCAGCACTCAGCCTGGTAATCCTGGTCACAGTCGACTGGAGACATAACCAGTCTCAGAACTTACAATGTCTATATACTGCAGAGCTTAACATTTGCATTTTGGGTGAACCACCTGGGAGTCACATTTTGTCATTTTATGTCTTAAGCATCAGACTTTAGCTGGGAGAAAAACATTAATGCTCGTTTTTTTAATCATGTACTGTAATTGAACAATATTCTTATTCTTTTGCACATTATATTTGGTTTTAAGGTTTATACCTGAGAAATAATTTCACTCAAGAAATACAAACAGACATACAGTACAGGCATTAAAACTTTAATTGATTTGTCTGTTTCATGTGTAACAACTTGGAAGTCTCTTTTTATACTTACAGTTTTACTACAAAGTCACTCTTACAAGATATTAACAGTAGCTGACTTTTCATCAATAACGCAAAACAGAAAAACATATTAAACAAAAATACATTGACTTTCAAACAATCTGTAGCTGAAATCTGCCATTAGGCTTTATTTAGCCTGATGTGAAATAGCAATCAGTGGAATAGGCTATTCACACAATAGTTTTCCATATAAAACCAGCAAAATAAAGGATAAAGTGTGTTTACATTTTTTATAAACATTTAAAAATGTTTCCTTCTTAAAATGAATGTGTTAGTTAAAAGTAGTTACAAAGGGTAGAAACTTATATTGTTTCTTAAGAAAATAAATCAAAACTTTCCTGAAGACCTTAAATCCATTAAATGTCTAATGGAAGATTAATATAAAGGAAATTGAAGATCAGAAAACATTAAAAAATAATGTTTTTGTAATGTTAACAACACACAATTTATTTAAAAATCTTAAAATTGTACTGTACCTAGTGTTCTCAGATAACAGTTCAGATCACTACTTCTATTCAGAAGAAGATACTTCTATATCATTTAACGTTTTTGTGGGTTTCAATGTTGTATTTGTAAAACGAGCCTCTGAAATATCCATACCTAATTATACAGTCTCCTAAACATTAGTCAATAATATATTTATAATACTAACCCATTGAATATGTGAAAAATGTAATACATTTGTTTTTTATTGGTTATACTTTAGTTTAGGGGTTGGAAAATCACATTTTATATACACCGAAAATGGATAATATACTGTATCAGTCTGTAATACATTATAAGTATTATACTGTATATGGAGTAAGCTAACTTCTGCAAATAACCCTAGGCTTAGCATTACTGGCACAGTTCAGGCTTTGGTAAGGACTGGAGATTAGGTGATAAGATGGAACTATAGCACAATAAACTGTATTAATATCTAATTAAAACATTCCTTTTATAAAATGTTTAGAAATGTTATTTGTAACCCCTAATATAAAGTGTTTGCTTTTAGGTTTTGCCAAATATTACCTTAAAGCACATTACTCTAGATAAATTTCATACCTGTGAGAGGTGTAGCTACTGTACTGTCTTTGCTTAGGCTTTTAACAGTCTTGAAGTTCATATTGCAAAATGATTTGCAGACTTACCTCTGTTTGTTCTTTCTAACTCAGAAATTAATTTATATTTTTCTACCCAAAGCAACTCTTACATTCTGGGACACTGACACTAGTCATAATTTAAAACTGAAATTATTACCCATCAAGCAACTCTGTCAATGTATTCAAAACCCAAAACATATTTTCTCGTCAAGCACTGTAAAAGGAAGTGGCAAAGCAAACCTTTCAATGTTTTATTTCACATATTGATTTAATTGTAATTTTAGAACAAATCATTATTATTTACAGATAGGTAATACACACACATACCACAGACATTAAAACATCACACTCAAGAAAATGCAACTTTCATAGATACCATTTTTTGAACTAATGTATTTTTAACAAGTACACTTATTATCTTACAACTTATGTGGCCTACCCTAAAAGGACATGATCCCTAGCATTTAGCAGTAGCACTGGTGTTCAAAAAGGATAATGACATGAAAAAAGACATACTGTATTCGTAAAATACCACCCATCTCTATCACAACAGCTACCAACAAAGGTAAAATATACTATATTGGAGGCTTTATCAATGAGAACTTATAATAGACGTTTAACAGATCAAATAATGGTAAAGAATTTTCCTTAGAAATAGGTGCAAAATATCAGTCATTGGTATTTTTATCAGTATTTTATTGTTGAGGATTTGTTGAGAGTTTTAATATTTTATTAAAAGAAAAGCATAAAATGCAGGTTTGTTAGGAAGTTATTTTTTGGCTTTTCATAAATACAGTACTTTTCAAATTTGTACTTAAATAATGCCATTATTTCAAGAATATTAACAGCTCTTGAGCAGGAATATTAATTTGAAGATAAAATTAGATTTCTAAATTCTATTTTAAACTTCAGATTTCTGAGAATCTTACATGATTCGGATCTTCGTAGAAACAAAATAAATGGACTACTTTAATTGCATTATTTTTTTCCATTGTCTTATGCATTCTCACATTCTTTAAATTACTATTTCACTTTTTTCACTATCTCACTTTCTTTCAATTACTATTTCAATAATTATTTCCATTACTTCTCTTAAATAAATACTTACAGTAGTCCAGCTATGACTTACATTCTTTTCCTGATCATGATATTAAATGTGTCGAAGAATAATTCTCGGTATTTAGTTTTTATCATAATAGTTCAAAACTGAAAACAAAATTTCAGTCCCCCTTTAGTCCAAATTACTTCTAAATTGAAGGTACGTATGCATACAGAACTGTACACCATTCAGAATGTGTAATAAAGAAGATACATTAATCTAACTGTATAGAACATGAGTTCTAGTTTTTTCTGTTTATTAGTGGGGGTGTTGTTCAGTGGACATACTGTATGTTGCTACTGTACATATTTCTTCTGTAACCTACAGCATCTATTGATGTGTATATTTATGTCATTTGATTCAGATGGCAACAGCAAATGACAAACCCTGGAGCTGATGGCAGCCTTTTGTTTTCCATTGGCTTCTGGCTTCTATATACAGTAATGGAAACCTACCATCAAGTGTTGGCTTTGTGACTTGCAACTGGAAAATGGGTGAATGATTTGTTATTCAGATTGGAGAAAGAGCAGTCCTGCTAAGAATTTGGATGATTGAATCCCATTTCAAGTTGCTGATACTTCATACTATGCTACTGTATACTTAACACACATCACATGCTATATTACAACAAGCACCTACACTTTACCAGATAACGTTAGGCTGCATTGTCTCATTTTGAATTTGTTTTCTTAATGAGTTGCCAAAATCAGTGTAAATATCTGAACAGTAGGTGGTGATAATGTTTTGTTAATGTTTGCAACAGTCTGGAAATTCTGGACTACATCGTTTTTTTCACTAAAAGGATACTGAAATATGAAAATGCAATGTTTGGATCAAGCAAATGACTGCTGTGCTTTAAAGATTAAATTCAGGACATATATTTTTTTTTTAAGTATCAGTTTGAAAGAAATGTGTTCATAAGGAATCCAGGTATTGAAATTGCAAATACTGCTATTGAATTGATTTTTGAAACTGATGTAATTAATAATATGCTCATAAAGTGCTAATGCTGATGATAATTTCTTTACATTTCCTTAGTACTGAATTTAGAATTCATGAACATGAGGTTAAATACTGAGAAAGAAAAACATTTTTTTAATGCAACTGTCACTTAAATACAATTTTGAACAATAGTTCATTTAAATTAAAAATATTATTACACAGAATGATATTTATTTTCATATATAATGTATCTCAGTGTCTGGATTTGCCTAACTAACTTGTTTGAACTCATTGTTAAATATTCAAGAGTTTGTGCACAGCTACCAAAATTAGTATGTTCACATTGTACAATAAAGCATGAGTAATATTTCACGTAGCTTCAGTAAATATAGCTGTGATTTCTGAATGTATGCTTTAGGGAAGGAAAAATAACCTGCTTATATCCATCACTTCTTTCATTTTTTTAAATTAAAGCGTATTTTTCCTGCAATTGCTGGTGCATTGAATTCCCTATTCAGAAACATTTTACATAAAATCCAGGCTGGAATATGCACAAAAATGAATGCTTATGAACTAAAAGATCAATTAAAAAAAACAATCAAATAAATTCCCTGATATGGTAATCACAGAAAAATGCTTTGTTAGTTACATATACTGTATATATAATCACCACAGGATGATTGAAATTTACTTCTATTCATGTCCAGCCTATTTTAAGATCCAACATAAAAACATATCTGTTTATCCACTAATCATAGTCATGATGAAAAATAAACTGCCATGAACTAAAACCTTTAATAATGATTATTATATGGATAGACCAAGCCTTGCTGATCAAGGTCTTATTATACATGATTTTGTACTGAAATATATTCATTACTTCAACCAAAGTTGCTACCTTGTGTTATATAATCAGACTTTCTTCCATTTACATGCTTTCCTTTTACTGCGTTCATGGTGCCTTGGCTCAAAACAGATGCAGAAGCTGGCAATTACACTATAATGCTCAATGTCGTAGCAGTTACCAATGCTGATGAGAAAAAGCAGAGCATAGTAACACCTTTTGCCCTTTATCCCAAAAATAAAAGCAAAAGAAAAGCAGTTTTCTCTTTTTACAGCTTAGGCAATGTACTGAATACAGATTATACGATGACCCTCCCCCACCCACTCTAACACTAGTAGCCCTAAAGTTGCAGGAACTGTGAATCCCCCAAAAAAATCCACAGAATGCAAGAACAATCTCCTTTTTTGTGACCTAGTAACCTGATCAAGTAGCGTTTTCCTCCTCTTCATCTAGAAGGTAGTTCAGCATAATGACCGTGCTTATAAAGTCTCCCAGCTCCACAAAGTCTGCTGTGATGATATTAATTCCACTTTCCCCAGGTTTCTGGGTGCGAACCCATTGCATCATCCCAGGAAGGGCCCTGTGAGAAACAAAAAAAGCCACAAGCAAGGCAATAAGTGTATATCAGTGTATATCAGTCCAAACCTTAGGTTTTAACATGTGCACTTTTCACACAATTGTGAAATTCTATTGAATTACAGTGTTTTCTCATTTTCTGAAAACTCAGGAGTCAAACAAAAGTTCTTCCAAAAAATAAACACTATTTTTTTATCACTTTATTAGCCATATACAATTTCTTGTATATTTTCTATTAGGAATTTGTCTTTTTGCATACCCCAGCTTGCTCTCCATGAAACACAAAGGCACACAGACAGGGAGAGAGAAGTTTGGGGTCAAAGTGCAGGGACAGCCATTGTACAGCACCCCTGGAGCAGTTGGGGTTAAAGGCCTTGTTCAGGGGCCCAACAGAGTACAATTCTTCTACCAGCTGCAGGATTTGAACTGGCAATCTTCCAGCCACAGGTGCAGATCCTTAGCCACCGCTGTGCCCCTTTAACACTATAATTTGATTCTTACTTTGAGTTTACAAGTTCAATACTATGAAAAAATGTTTAACAAATTACAGAAACGTGATGATGATTCCCTGGATACTGGCTCATAGTAATTTATCCAGGGTCATTTAGCACAGGAGAGGAATGGTACAACTTTTTATGGCAGCCCTGAAAAGACATGCAGAGCTTATAAATCTTGTTAGTGATTAGGTGAGTGGGTGTACAAGTCTATTTCTTGTTTCTCAGCTGCCAATACAATCAGCAACTCCCATTAGTCACTGCTCTTGACAGATACATCTCTTCAAACACAAGTCCTAAGGACATAATTATTGAAACCTAAGTTGATTGCATAATACTTTGAGAAGAACTTCAAAGATATTGTTATTCACCTGGTATTAATATTTTCACATTCTTAGACATAATGGTTTATGATGAGCAATTTAAAACTCACAATTCTGAAGCCCCAATTATTTTTTTTCTTTTAAAAGTAACACAATGACGCATATACTATACACAATACACAGAATCTATTTCCATGATATGTATGCATTTTATTTAAAATTAAAATACTAAAATTAAAAGTATGATTATTAATCAACATTCTTAATTTGAAATTATTTTCAAATGCAAAATCTACTGTTCGATGGTGAGGGAAAGCTGATTTTAAATTAAAGAGGATATACAGTAACTAAGCTTCTTGTGTTATTTAAGGCAGAAATCACAGCCGATATCAGGCTTCTTCATACAAATTGTGTTATCTGAGTTAAAAAGAAGAAGGGGCATATGTCAAAAGGAAAATTTAAGTGTATAAGCCTGCAGAAAGACACAGAGGAGAAGATCAAGGCGCTCTTAAAGGGCAGGATAACAGCACCTCCCGAACAACTTCCTGAGGCATTTTCTCCATTGTTAATTTTAAGTGTCAAATAGCCTGAATCCAGTCTGACAGCCACACATCTCCGAATTCTGTTAGCACAGCAGCAGTGAGTCAAGGTTACATCTACGCCCCAAGACAATGTGCTTTTCAAATGCTACTGAAATAATTAGGACCTTCTTACTGACATGAGCAGCTTTTTTTTCCTTACTTCTTCAGTCAAATAATTAGGTAGTGTACAGGTACTGTATATATAAAAGATACCACTAGGAGAAGTGTTTGATTTCTTTTAAAAGATAATCATCATATTAGACTTCAAGCAAAAATTACACGTTGTCACCATTTATCACATTCTATCTGCCAAAGAATTCCTTTAAAAAGTCACTTTCCATTATTATTATATGCACCTCTCTAATTAGTTTCTTCTAAAATATATTTTACACACATTTCATTAAGTCTGAAATGTTATAGAAGTTTGAACATATGAATTCAGCCTTGGTTTATATCAAACCTGTTCAGCTAATGGTGCATCAGCGGTAATCACACATATTCTAGTGTTGCATTATAGCCTGTTTCTCTGCTATTTAAAAGTATGAGCCAAGTTCCACGTGTAGCCTGAGACCCCTTTTATAATTTGGTACTGCCATATGTCCAGGTGTGAAATACATAATACATAATGAAAAATAAACAGCTTCTAGAAAAGTCTAAAACCTCATGACTTGCAGCCTTACTACAACATTGCAGCACTGAGAAACTGAAGAGCTAACTTGAAGGATAATTTAATTAACAGAACATGATGCCAATTTCATTTCAAGGTAATTTACTAATTTAAGCTTATTTTTATTCAACTTTATTTAATCGTCTATAATGCTACTTTATTAAACAGTTTCAATTGAATAATAGAGTTTGGCCTATTCGTTGTAGGGTTCATTCTAAATTTGGTTAAATTCTGTGCACGCTGAGGGAGATAGGCATGACACCTGTCGTGTGGAGGACATGCAGAGAAAATATGAGACATTTTAGCATAACAGGAAGGTTGAAGACACACTAGGTCAAAACAATACTATTACTTTTTGTAACTCATTAAAATGTTCTTAGGTGCAAGCATTACTTTGAAATGCTTAGAGCATTTTAAAATAAGAGTTCAGAGCCTAGCAGTGGCATTTCTGTATCCTCAGTTTGCTCCATTTCAAAGCTTCACTGAACTGCTCTGTGACTTCTTGCATCCCTACAGCATACTCTCTTTAGTTCTGTACGAAATGGTATTTTATTCATAAAATTTTAAAAAATATATTTGAGTGAACATACAAGTAATCACAGAATCTATATGACAGAGTATTTATTGTTTTCTGTCAAGAAAAATATTGTGCCCTGTACACATCTCCCCCACCTACACTCTCACAAAGTAAGGTGCAGGAATGGGCGACTGCAATAGAGGAGGACTGGGGATGCTGGGGATGCAGTGATCACGGTGGGGCTAATTCATATTTATTGTGAAAAGTTAAAAGGCGGAAGGGAGGGGGAATATTTTCTCTTTTTAACTTTTTATTATAGTTATCCTAATTCGTGAAAACAGTATATATGCTTAGTTCACATACTTATCTTTCAGACCCTTTTAAATTTTTACAGTCATGAGCAGGAAACACTCTAGGTGGAAAGACTATTTTTAAACAGGATAAGTAAAGCGAGCAAATTATAATTTTTACCTGCAATTTCTAAAGGATACATCATTTTTGGTTCTTAGAAATATAGATTGGTTGGGAAACATGGTGTGTACGTGGTGCGTATTGCACAATCCTTCCAACTTACAAAACAAAGCTGCACACGTCCATGAGAAAAAGCAAAGGCGCTCTCTTAGAATGACACTGATAGTGAGCTCAAGCACCAGGAAGGGAAACCGTGACACTGTTGTTCTCAATGTGTTGTGCAGTTATATTTCACTTGCCTTTCGGTAATGGTTTCCCTCAGGCCACTGGCAACGCCCTTCATCACCGTGCTTGCTTTGGGAGTCAGCACCACCTGGGAGACAAAAAAGGTGCCCTTGCGGCGCCTCTCGGCGACAGTAGATTGCAGGAACTGAATGAGCTTTTCAGGATCGGTGGTATTTGCCCATGGAGACGGCATCATCTGACCAGGCCACAGATAGGGAACCTCTAGAGCGACCGGGTTATGGTAAAATACCAGAACTTGGTACTCCTTCTCCCACAGGTATTTGAGGGTCACCTCCTGGGCGAAAATGGCTGGGCACAGCTTGTTCCCAAAAATCTCGTGCAGCATCCGTACCAGCTTCTCGTGGTGGGAATTTTGCATCCCATAAAAGTGATTGAAATCCAAGAACGCTACCTCACGCAAGTGGGAAGCTAAAAAGCTGTTGATCTGCTCCAGGCCTTCTTTTACTTTTGCGCTGAACAACCCGTGGGCAAAATAGAGCTCGTTGTCTGGGTCTCGAGGTTTTGTGGAAATGCGCAAGTCAAAGAACCGAATCCCAGCTTCCAGTTGGCTGGTGAAATTCATGGTCTGGGTGGCTAGCCATTTCCTCATCAGTTTTTTGGCCACTGTTCCAAAAACTGAGACAAAGTTCTGGACAGTTTCTGGTTGTTCTGGCCCAACTGGGGAGGCTTCATCAATGTAGAAGCTGAAAGAGTCATGGGATCCTAAAAAAGAAAAATTTTATTAGCTACCAGCAGCTGTTTGTGAAACAAACAAGTTAGTATGTGAAGACTCAGTAAAGAAGCAATGAATCAATCATTTTGTGAAGAACATTCTGGAACATTTGGGGCAGAAGAAAACACAAATATAGATCACTACTAAATACTGGGAGTTAGGAGGTGAATGTATGGCACAATTAGTCAGTAATACTGGCACCATCCTTTGAATGAGACATAAAACTGAGGTACTGACTCTCTTTTTCTTGAAAAGAGTGGGGATGTTAACCTTTGTGTCCAAATTTCCCCCCGGCGTTACTAATCATGACCTCCTAATAATCTCCTTCTCTGAATCACCTTTATCACTGTGCTCTTCTCACCCCTGATGTGTGGTGAGTGTACTGGTGCACTTTGGCTGTTGTTGCATCTGGGTGGTAGTGGTTAATTACCTGTAAAGCAGTCTGAGTGGAGTGTCTTTATTATTATTTTATTTTTGTATGGTGTTTTAACAGATGAAGAGATTGAGTCCCTTATTAGAATTGCACATTATTATAACAAAATTACATCAGCTTGCAATACAGTGCATATTGCATGTGTCCTGAACAAACTCTTGACATACAGCACAAAATAATGAAACTTCAACTCCTGAGCAAACTTTCGTTCACAGTTTCATCACACTGAATAACTGGATAACCTTGTGTTACTGCGCTTCATGTGTTCCAACCACACACACATGATTCTTTTACTTTTTAATAATCAGAATAAAGTTTTTATTGATACAGTACTCTTGGATAGGGAAGCTACAAAAAGATACTATATGAAAATTAAGGTGGGTAGCTGCGTCAGCATGCGTAGGCTGCAAAGGAACAAGTAATAGGTTTATTCCATGCTGAAAAAAATAAGAGAAAACACAATGTTTCAGCCGTGGAGCCTCACACCTGAAGAAGGCTCCACGGCCAAAACGTTGTATTTTCTTTCTTCTTTTTTTTCAGCATGGAATAAACCTATTACTTGTTCCTATTTGAAAATTGTCAGGGAGACAATTTACAGTGCCTCACACTCACAAGACAAAATGGAGTTCTCACCACATTGAGGCAGAACCACTGGCTGTGACATTGAATGGTTACCATTAACTAATACATAGCGCCACCCAGTGGCACACCAGAATTAGTCCTCAACACTACATTTAAAAATGTTTAAAAACTAATTCCTATGATAATGATAAGATAGAAGTTAAGAATATTTCTTGACCTGTGAAACAGAGAAAGATGATGGTTCATAAACAGAATATTACACATAAGACTTTAAAAGTGGATAAAAAATACAAGTTGAATTCTTTTCACTGTATGATTTATATGAGTAAAAGTTATCAAAATCATTAGATAGATAGATACTTTATTGATCCCATGAGGGAAATTACAGTACAACAGCAGCTTTACACAGACAACACAGCCACAGTGTAACGAATGATACAATAATAATAATAGTACAATACATACAATACAATCAGTACAGTGAGGGGCGCACTAAAAGAGTTACTCACAGTCCGGACACACAAAGAACAAACTAGAACAGAACAGTACGCAGAAAAATCGTATCACACATATGAATATAAATATAGATGTAAATATAGATATAAATATAAATATAAATGTATTGCACAGGTCCCTGGCATATATTGCACAAAAAATGGTTGTAAACGGGAAAGAAAAGAAAGAGAACAGATGTAGCAGTAGATGTGTAGATGCGTTCAGTCCAGAAACAGGCCACTGTCAATGTTGCCTCTGCCCAGACGCAAGGTGGATGCGTTGTACAGTCTTATGGCAGAAGGCAAGAATGATCTCCTGTAGCGCTCCCTGTCGCACCGTGGATGAATCAGTCTTTTGCTGAACGTGCTCTTCATTTCTACAAGCCTGTCATAAAGGGGATGGGAGATGTTGTCCATGATGGCCTCTAGTTTGGACACCATTCTCTTCTCAGCCACTACCTCCAAGGGGTCCAGGTCAGACCCAATGACAGAGCCCCAATGGTGATCGCTACCACCGACTGATAGAACATATGTAGCATCTTACTACATACATTGAAGGACCTGAGCCTCCTCAAGAAGTAAAGTCGGCTCCGTCCCTTCTTATAGATGGCCTCGATGTTCTTAGATCATTCCAGTCTATCATTGATGTGCACTCCCAGGTACTTGTACGAGTCCACCATCTCCACGCCACTCCCATGGATGTAGACAGGGATAGGTTTGACCTTTTTCCTCCTGAAATCTACCACCAGTTCCTTTGTCTTTGTTACATTCAGTTCCAAGTGGTTCACCCAACACCACTCCACAAAGCTGCTGACCAGTCCTCTGTACTCCTCCTCCTGCTCACCCTGGATACATCCCACAATTGCAGAGTCATCTGAGAACTTCTGCAGGTGGCATGACTTTGAGTTGTACTTAAAGTCCGAAGTATAGAGGGTGAAGAGGAATGGAGAAAGAACTGTCCCTTGAGGTGCCCCTGTGTTACTCACTACCTGTTCAGACACACAGTTCTGAAGTCTCACAGACTGTGGTCTGCCTTTCAGGTAGTCAGTGATCCACGAGGTCATGGAGGTATAGACTTGCATCTCCTCCAGCTTCCTCCTTAGAAGTAAGGGAGGGATGGTATTGAACGCACTGGAGAAGTCGAAAAACATGATCCTTACAGTGTTGCCAGCCCTGTCCAGGTGTGAGTAGGCCCTTTGCAGCATGCAGATGATCGCATCCTCCACACCAACACTGGGCTGGTAGGCGAACTGTAGGGTGTCCAGTGATGAGATGACCAGGGGTCTTAGGTGGGATATGACCAGCCTCTCCAGTGTCTTCATTACGTGAGAAGTCAGTGCAACTGGTCTGTAGTCGTTGAGGACAGAGGGGCGCCCTTTCTTTGGTACCGGGACCAGGCATGATGTCTTCCAGAGCACCAGGACTCTCTCCAAGCGCAGGCTCAGGTTGAACAGTCGGTGGAGCACTCCGCTCAGCTGATCAGCATTGGCGAAAGAACATTTGCTATGCAGCTGTAACAGTGTCTTAAGAGAAATGAGAAAAGGACGAAGTGGCACTGACTTGAAAATTGTGATATTTTCCATACTGAGACTGAAAAGCATGAATTTAATTCCATGAAAGGCCTAATCACTGTTTTTACCTTCATGGATAGCTTTAAATTAGTACTTAAAGCTACATTTTGTATTGGGATTTTGTGGGTGGTATAATCTTTTTATGGTGGCTGTATAATACAGTTTATTCATGAATACAGGGATGTGCTGTACATTGTTGCTGCTGTTGTTTTATTTATATATACTCTTCAAAAGGCTATGAACCTAAAATATTAACAATGGCAGGACATCATTTTGCCAGTAATAGCTGTTTCTATTATTACAACAAGCTAACATACTTCTCTCGTTACACAAAACTGGGAAAATGTGTCTCCATCTTAGAGATGGCCTTTTTTCACACTTAATATAGAATTTCATGATCAAACAAAGAAAGTCTGAAATATCATATGAATGAACATAATCTCTATTTCATATTCAGAAGATGAAACAGTGAATTATTTTTTCTATTTTTGGTCAGAATAGATTACTCTAGATTTTAGCTTATAAAACAATTTATTTTTAAAGAGAAATAAAAATTATCGAGTTCCCAGAGCAAGCATAACCAACAATTCATCATTGTTTGTTTTAACCATATGCATCATATTATGACAAAGGTAGATTCATTGCAATCTTTAACAGTTCTGTGAAGAAGTGGTCCAGTTTGTCGTTAAAGTTCAGGTACAGTCACGTAGAAAATGTACAGATTTGACATTATTTCAATCATAGTAATTAACATTACTGCAGTACAATCATACAAAATCACTCTATAGTTTGATGCAAAAACAGCTCAGAAATATGTGCATAAAAGCTGTGTAAATAATACTTTATTCAGTGTTTTTATATTTACCTCAGCTTTATTCCACTGTATCCATTCCAAACAGTTTGTTTTGGGGTTAATATTACAATTTAAACCAACTGCAATAGTTAAAAATTAAAATGTTCCTGCCATACTGGTGCAAACATACTTTTATGATTTCTAGATGACTTCTCTGTATCTTTAGAGGATCACATTCAATCAGAAACTTATCTTACTACATTTGAACTTTTTATCATTTTACCAAAATTCATTTTAAGATGGACCCCTTTAATTTTCATAACAGGATAAAGAAAATGAAGGTCACTGTAGTAACCTCACAGTCAGAGATTGCATGAAAGTAATTTCCAATTTGTCCTTGCTTCCTTCACTTTGCCAAAGTTTGTCTAAGAGAACGTTTTCTTCATGAAATTTTTGTAAAAACAAAAAACCATCAAGTTCTGTGCACCTTCTGAAAAAAACAACTGCATGACTACAGTGTAACAACAGCAACAGCCAAATACCTGTGGCCAACCTTGTCACTTAAGAACATTAATTGAACTTAAGAATTAATCGAACAGCCTCTGTACAGCATTCAACAACAGCTGCAATGTCACGGACAGCTAAAAAGTTTTTTCACGCACAGTTTTTCAAGGTTTTCCTCTCATTCATCAACCCACTAGGATAGCATTGCAATCATTGTTGCAGCACTTCTAACAGGTATAACACATAACGTATATTTCCGAAGTTACCCTCAACACCTCTGAAACAATTTCCAATAAAGACAACTTACTTTTGATTGGCCTTTGTTAGCTCATTAATTTGCCAACCTGGCTACAGCTAATTAAAACAATTACTGTCACATACTGTCACATATGATGCACGAGTACAGCTTTGCCGCCCTCTAAAACATCTGGTGCAGTATTAAATACTGCTTAATGCATTTTTTGACATTTTCTGTCACAAATGAAAGATACGTGATTCTTGACAAAGCTGAAGTCCTGGCTGACTAGGAAAATATAAATAATGTCAGTGGTGAAAGGACAGTGTGCTAATGAGAGACATATCTTTAGATACATGTTGCAAATCCATTCCAGAG